TGGGATTACCACTTGCAGATGAAGAGAATAAAATTTGAATGTGTTCATTATTTTTTGAGACCTCTCGAATATCTAATGTTTGTACCTGCCATGTATAGTACGGATTGTATTTTGAATAAACGGTCAATAGTGTATGAAAGTAATCAATCACATCATCTTCTAAATGCAAAATGGTAATCATTGATTGCCTGCTTTCGCTTGAATCCTCAATACATTCAAAATTCATTTTCGTAATCATATAAGTCGCTTTTCAGCAGACTGATATAAATAATAAGTCGCTTTTCAGCAGACTGATTGAATTTATTAAAATCAAGGGGCGCGGTAACGGCCCGAAGGTTAAAAGTATACTTACTAACAAATAATAAAATAAATTTATACTTACCTGACAAAACTCTCCCAGAGATGGAATCAGTCCTACAAAAAAAATATATTAGAGTGCATAATAACATTGATCACTGATTTTTACGATTGTATATGAAAGATCAAATTACTTGTAATAAATACTTATAACATAAAACTTAACTGACTTCTTCGAATACTTCCTTTTCTTATCCGACACTTAACTTACACTTCTTTTTCCTATCCTGCACCACTTGAATTAGACTTCTTCTTCTTATTCTGCACGACTTGACTTGACATTTGTAATCAATATATACTATTATATGAAATTAGCTAAAATCATGTAAGAATACTGTCACACGCGTCGGTAAAAAAAAATTTTGACATTCTGCCTTATCGCGCTGAAATTTTGACATACTACCTTATCGCGCCGATATCGGCATCTAGTCCCCTAATAATTATGAAATACCATTAAGCGGTCGGTATCTCGATATTGGTATCATTTCATAATTAAAAATATGTACGCTAGGTGCGGTAATAAATAAATAAATGCTAATCTGTATCCATGGAAATAATTCAATAAGACACGAACATGGAAAGCAAAAACGACGTAAGTATAACACGTTATACTTTAATTAATTATATTCTATTATAACTAAATACACAATCGTAGTTATAATAATAAAATTAGATTTTTATTTTCAGATGGAGATCGAGAACGAACTATTACATATGGATTTGAATGAATTCTTGGAACAAGGTGAGTTCTTTTTTGTAATTACACAATTTTTTTATATTTATTGAATTATATATATATTAGCAGGTAGGCACAACACCAGCTTCAAGACGGCCCCGACCACGACGGTGTCACGTAAGGGCGTATATTTTTAAAATAATTGTTAACACTTGGAAATCACCACTATGAACAATTAACTACGAGATACAGAATAGACACGCACAAGAAATGCGCCTACGCTATTAATGCGTAAACATGTTGCGACCATTTGATATTTATTTTACATTATTATTTTAAAACGCATGTTCGAGAAAAGAACAGGAAAATTAATAGAATGTAAAAAATTGTGTTGGGGAAACTAAAAATGTAAAATGTAAATTATTGAAAGCGTACATTATTTCTTTTTGTGATCCAGCACTGCGTTTAGGCATCGATAATATTTTGTTTCTGACCGACGTGCAATTGGAATCATCTTAGAGCAGTCGTGAAGGAACCGTCGCGTGTTACGCGTCGCGGAATGTCGCGTGAATAGTGTTTATGCGTCTCTGCAATATTTGCATTAGTACACACACGCATTAATAGCGTAGGCGCATTTCTCATTACACTCCTGCGGGAACCGTACGTTCTTCTGTTAACTTCCCAACAATAACTTCTTAGCCGTTATCCTGTGGCTAGTGCGTCGCGTAAAGGATTAAAAAGCTTAAGAATTTATCGGAGTCATTCTGCGTTTAGTGTTTAGTGTGGATTGTGACTGTGTGTTTCGTGTCATGTGGTCACTACGGTCGGGATAATTTCGGTGCATGTGTACTCGTGTGGATATTTCATCTCAGTGCATAGAAAAAGGCATTCACCCTCCTGACTCGAAAATCCCATAGTGCGAGTTTCGATGTGCTCTTGCGGATTGAGCGAGTGCTTAGGTTGAATACCAGGATACATCGCATTAAAATAATTTCCCATCTTCAGCACTCGAGGTAAGCCCGCAAATTTCTTATAGGTACGGACCTAGTTACGGTTATCGACATGCATCGATCGGCGGTGATCAGCTGAGCGTATGCCGAAAACGTCCGTGGATGCAAGGCGGATTGTCAATTTTAGGGGCAAAAACATCGAATTTTTAAATGTTAATAACTAATTAACGAAGCCCGAAACGCAATTTTCTCTCTCTTCATTTTCGTCTTATTTTTGACCATAGAACATGTCCTTAAAATATTGCCCACTAGTAGGTTTACACCCTGTATACTGTACAGATACATATACATGTAGGTGCCCCGTCGACAGGTGGCGGCACACAAGAATTCCCGCCAACAGGTGGCAACATGAAATTGGCTCCCGTAGAGAGTGGGGACAGCTCGATGCGTTATTCAAACTAGCGTTAACTTCTAGATTCCAGATGTTCTTTTCCGCTAGCTAAGTAACGACAGGAAACTTTGCCTGAGGTGTCTACGAACGCTGTTATTGTACGGTCGCAAATAAGACACGCATTTGTATCTTTAAATAAATTCCTTTTATTCGGTTGAGATTATGAAGTGTTAAGACCTACATTAGGTGACCCCGACGATCTTTAAATATTCAAAGCGCGGAAACGTCAAATACGAGTTTTTTCGGGATAGTGCGCGCGAATTTCAAGGCTTCAATCCGCCAATAGCTTTCGCTGCCGTTGAGATACAGCCGAAACTCAAACGTTTTCCTGCATCCGGTCAGCACTACAACGCTCAGCGGGTTCCATCGAAATCCGGATCAACGCCCGTCTTTCCGAGCCGACGCTTCCCATCCTGCCATCGCCGCAGCGCTTAACAGACCTTCCTCCTGTCATTGTCCCTTGCCCAAAACCAGCCAGCGTCCTGGAAAGTGCATAACATTAATTTCCTGCGACACGAGGTAGACAAACATCTCAACATTGACTAAACCGCATCTTACTGCTCATGACCGACCGCAGTTCAGAGTTACAACTCCGATCGGGCAAAAGAATTTCTAAACCATCTTTCTGCACGAAACGAGGACAAAGGAGATTAAGCAAGTCTAGAACCATGGTGTTACGCTCACCCGTCGACAGAAGATCGAGTGGCTATGTCACGTCCTGATACGGTGTCCTTGCCTTTATTTAAAGTGCTTAAGTACACCTTGACCTGACTATCTATTTTACGGGAATAGGTATAGGATACAAAAAGGATTGACACGAGATTTCTATACAATTTATATTCTTTAATATTTAATACTCCGTTACATACCAAAGACTGCTTAGCTTGGCCTGATCGGCTGTTCGTGTGTCAGAAGCCTCTATGCTGACACTAGTCACTTCACGTTACAAAGTATTTTATTCCTATATTTAACTTCTCGAGTTCCCAGCAGTTTCTATGCAATGCGTTTGTCCCTCGGGTAAGCCGTTTAAGAATCTTTTGATTCAGGGAAACTGCTGACCGATGCCTTGAAACCGATGAGGACTCGGACAGAGTCGCGGGTTAAGAAACGAGAATCAAAAACTGAAGCGCGGGCCCCGATGGCCAGGCTTTATAGTCTAAATGCTAAAAGTCAGCAATCCATTCACCACTAATGATTTGCTAATGACAGCTACAGCTGTTGCAACAGACAACACCTACTTCGAAGGATTTACCCAAGACTCGCAGGCAGCATCCTCGACCCCTACCACCTTGAGATTCACTCAGCCTGCAGAAGATCAGTTCGTTACAAAAGAAGACATGAAAGAATTGCTGCTTTCTGTCGATCAGAAGATCAACAACATTATGAACGAATTTAGGAAGATGATGACAGAGTGCCTCTCAACACTCACCTCAAATCAACCATCAAGTGATGACACGGCAAATCGTCCTCGAGTCACAGCTCCTTTCTCCGTCACCAGTTCATTACAAGTTCCGATGACATCAACCTCCTGTCGTACCATCCGTGCCAGCTCATATCGTCTTCCCAGTGGTACATCGAGCGCAGATCAACCGGCAGTCCGCACCACACTTCCAGCGATTCCCGCGCCTACACAAGTCAACACCGGTTCAGGTATTTCAATACCGAATCTGCAACAAGAAAACGCAACTTTTACTCATCCGCACAACACCTCCGTTTTCGCAACCACTAAACACTTACAATTCTGGAGTTTTTACAAAGATGATCCTCAAGGATGGTTCAAACAATTAGAGGATTTGTTCCTGGCGCACAATGTCAACGAAGATGAAGGTAAATTTAACTTCATTGGCAGACACCTCACGCAAGATATCCATCAAGATCTGCAATACAAGTTACATACACTCTGTAGAGGGCAAAAATATCAAGAATTAAAAAGAATACTTACGGATCGTTATGCTGAGACGCCACAACAACAATTAGACAGGCTCTTCAAAGGCCTGGAGATTGGTCCGAGGAAACCTTCAGATTTTCTGGCAGCGATGTTAAGTTTAGCGCAAGATCAAGTACCAAGGGATACCATCATTTCTATATGGAAGAAACGGCTTCCGCCCCAAATCCAGACGATGATTTGGAATTATGAAGAAGAGGATGAACTAATCAAATCCGCAGACTTGGCCAACGAACTGTTAAATCAGCCTAACCATCTTAACGCCTTAAGAACGGAAAACCAACCCTCCACTTCCACCGACGAGATTCTCAACAAAATCCTCGCAGCAGTCCAAAAACCGTATATCAATAATTCACCACGCAGACAAGCAAGGTTCAAGAATTCTCAATACAGATCACGCGCCAATTCACAAAATAGGCGAGCCAGGCGTGACGCAACGCCCGCACGTTCGTCAACAGCCACCAAGCAAGACAACCAGAAGAATCGTTGCTGGTTCCACCAAAAGTTCGGCAAAGAGACGCGTAACTGTCTACTTCCATGCGATTGGATACGTGGACCGGGTCAAGAATGTAAAATAAAAAACCCTGAAGCTCAAGAGGAAAACTAAACAGTCCTGCTGTTATGGAGACTGACAGCCGGTCAACCAATATCAAACGTCTCCACGTGAGAGACAAACTCTCAAACGAAACATTCTTAGTAGATACAGGAGCGGATATTTCAGTCATTCCTAAACCAAAAGGTTGGCAACGGAAACCAACGAAACTCAAGCTGTACGCCGTCAGCAGTTCACCCATCGATATTTTCGGCGTGACTCGCCGCGAGCTAGATGTCGGCTTCCCTTACAAACTTTCCTGGAACTTCACAATAGCTGACGTTCCACTTTCAATTATAGGAGCCGATCTTCTCTCGCAATATCACCTTCCAGATCTCAAACTCAAGAAGCTGGTGGACGGCAATCAATTCGTTCACGCTCCAGCGTTTGCTAAATCCGTACAGCCACTTCAAATCTCATTAATCGCTCCTAATCATAAATATGCAAATATCATTAATAAATTTCCGAGAGTTTTTGGTTCCAATCAATTTAGCTCAACAAAGAAACGTGGTATTTTCCACTACATACTTACAACCGGACCGCCAATCGCACAAAGGGCTCGTCGTTTAGCACCTGCCAAACTGAAGGCAGCTAAGAGGGAGTTCCAAAGAATATGCGAGCAGAATATTTGTCGTCCTTCAAACAGTGATTGAGCAAGTCCGTTACATATTGTGCCTAAAAAGAACGGAGACTTAAGTCCTTGTGGTGACTACCACAAGTTAAACACGGTCACAATTCCAAACCGATATCGCACATGCACGATTGCATGACAGTTTTACACGGTAAAAGTATCTTTTCAGCGCTAGACTTACGCCAGGCATACCACCAAATTCCTGTAGCCCCAGAGGATATTCCGAAGACGGCCGTAATCACTCCTTCTGAACTGTATGAATTCCCCGTAATGACATTCGGTCTGCGCAACGCCGCACAATCTTTCCAACGATACATTAACTCAGCCCTTAGTGACTTGGACTTTGTATTCGTCTATCTAGACGATATATTAATCGCTTCCACTACGGAAGAGGAACATAAAAAGCATTTAGAGAAAGTATTACTTCGACTTAACGAATACGAACTCCAAATTAACTTGGAGAAATGTACCCTTGGTGTTTCCGAACTAATTTTCTAAGGACATCTCATCACACCCAACGGCTTCAAACCAAATCCGGAAAAAGTCAAAGCTATTTCAAATTTTCCTCTACCAAAAACCATTGATCAGCTTCGAAGTTTTATAGGTGTGGTCAGTAGTTATAGACGCCTTCTCATTCATTCTGCAGAAACTCAACTTTCCCTCAATGAGTTTGTGACGAACCGTCACGTTACGTCCTACGATCCCGAACACGGCCACCGATTTCGCCGCCACGTAATGCGCGATCGCGGGCACTACCCGCGACTACACCGGCCGCCGCGCGAGTCACGCACGAGCCGTTTCGCGCCGGCGACATCACGCGCCACGCGTATAAGTACCGGTCCTCGAGCCAGGGAAAGGGAGAGTCGATTCTCGAGGACTTCACGTCTATCACGAGTATCACGCTGAGAAAACCTAGCCGAGTCAAAGGTAATACGCTCAGCAACTCTCGTACCCAGTCGTTGGCAATTAGAACCATCGACATCCCGCTCTCGCGGACACACACGGACTTACGTCGCTTCGAGGTAGCTCGTCTGCTCGGAACCTCCCCGTTGAGAGGCACGCCGAGAGACCTGCTGCGCTCGTTTGGTACAATCGCGTTTCAGTATAGTAGCCATCGCTCTAGTATAGTAGCCGTAACTCTAGTATAATATAATATCCGTAACTTAGTATAATACCGCAAATAAGCATTGTCATCGCGTAAATACGTCATACGTATCCCGCGGCGATAAGCTAGTCCTAATACGCGCACGTTTTCATCCATAGTTCGCGACGTCCAGCCGACACACCGGGCACAGCGCCAGAAGCAGTGCCCCCGGAGCCACACGTGTAACACTAGTTCTAAGCCTTCTTTTGAATAAACCACACTTCTACCAAATACACGTTTACCGATTTGTTTACCTTCCAATAACATTAAGTTCGTACGAGGACCACGTAACCACTCGGCGGCGCACCTAACACGCCGACTCGGGTTAAGCGCGTCACAAGTTTCTAAAAGGCGCCAAGAAGAAAGTGTTAGAGAAAGAGCCTTTAGGATATACCGCCAAAGGCGCACTCGCATGGAAACTCCAGGGTAAAGACGCACTCGATGGAAAACTCTAGAATCATCGCGATCGATGCGAGGATCGATCGCACCAATCACGATGAGTCACGTCAATGCGCACTACGCGCTACTAATATCGATTGCGCAGGAAGAAGGATCAGCCATTTATCACGGCCAACGATCATCACTGCTCATTAAGGTGTTACTCAGTGCGGACGTATTCGGATTTACTCTCAAACTCTTGTACTCGCGATCCTGTTACTCTCACTCTTTTTGAGTTATCGCTAAGGGACAATCGAACTCAAATTCCATGTGATTAATATAATTCCACGGGCCGAGTTTCTGTGAATCTCGGTAATTTAAATCACACTCTTGTGTAACGGTCACGATCAATAACATCGTGATCATCATCGGAACAATCACGTGAATCAATCACGTTTGGTAAAACTCGGGTTAAACTCTGCGACGCGTATTCACTCACTATATTTAATCAACCGACTTCTGTAAATGTGATTTCTTTTTTATATATTAAACGCGCTTTAAACATCACAACGTGCTCAATTATTTTATCGCGAACTCACAACATCCTATCCGGAAATCAGCAATCAAACTCGGCACATCTCAAACAGAAAGATAAACGGGCAATCACATGGACCAAGGAAGCTGAGGCAGCTTTTCAGAAATGCAAAGACGACCTCACTAATCTTACCTTCACAGTCTTCCCTAGTGAGAACGCAGAGTTACGCCTAATCATACGATACGGCTATGGGAGCAGCCCTCGAACAACGGTCAGACGACTCTTGGCAACCTCTGGCGTTCTTCTCGCAGAAGTTCACTCCTGCCCAGATGAAGTACTCCACCTACGACAGAGAACTTACTGCAATATACGAAGCTATCAAACACTGTCATTATTACCTTGAAGGGGTACAATTCAAAATTTTCACTTTAACAGAACGCCGACAAGATGCCGGCGATACGCTCACGTAGATTATCCTACATCGTTCAATTCAACACCGAAATTTGCTACTTACCCGGAGAAGAGAATGATGTTGCGGACGCTCTGTCCAGGATGAACACTTTCATATCATCGGCATTCTTCAATTAGAGCGACCCTGAGCTACTCCCCGATTCACAAATAAGAAGCATCCGTGCGAACATCGATGCCTTTAAACTTCCATCGCTCTTCGACGCCAAGTAGCTCAGCCTGGAACAAGAAAAGGACGATCAACTCAAGGAAATCCTCGCGGATCCAAATTACCCTCTAAAATTGCGGAAACTTACCTGGGGATCCCAACACGCAACTTTTTATTGCGACATCTACGAAGACGTCATTCGTCCATACTTACCCAAAAGCCTCAGAAGAATCGTATTCGACAATTTCCATTCGGCGTCATATCCGGGAGCAAAAGTCACACTCCGCCTCATTCACCAGCAGTATGTTTGGCCCAACATGAGCCGCGACATTACTACCTGATGTAAAGCTTGCACCGCCTGTCAACAATCTAAAATCACAAGGCATAACAAATTCCTGCCGAAGCATTTAGTAACACCAGATGCCAGATTTAACCACATTCACCTGGACATCGTAGGATCCTTCACAAACAGTCACGGTTAATCGTACGTCCTCACCATCATCGACCATTACACGAGATGGCCAGAGGCGATACCAATCGTGGACACCACTGCATCTATCATCGCCCGTGCATTCCACGACAACTGGATTTGCCGTTACGGAGCTCCAACCACGATCACTACCGACCAAGGTGCGCAATTCGAATCAAGATTATTCACTGAATTCCTGTCAATCCTAGGAATCAACCGAATCAGAACTACTTCTTACCATCCCGCTTCCAACGGCTTAGTAGAACGTCTTCACCGGGACATCAAGACAGCACTCATATGTCACGAGAAAAACCTGGAATGAACCCGTTTACTACCATTAGTAATGCTAGGTTTACGCACTCGCATTAGGCTGGACATAGACGCTCCATCTGCAGACTTGGTTTTCGGAAAGTCAATGAGAATTCCCGGAGATTTCTCACCTTTCACAAACGAAGAACCAAACATACGGCTCTTCTACAATGAATTTAGAGAACGCATGCATCAACTAAGGCCAGTTCCCGTTTTACACAAGACAGCAATCAAACTGTTCGTTCACCAGGATTTGAAAACTTAACCCCCGTGTGGATTCAAGATAAACCAATCAGACCCGCATTAACTCGCCGGTACACAGGTCCTTATAAAGTAACTTCCCGCAATTTCGAGAACCACACATTCAACGTGGATAAGGACGGAATAACGCACACAATTAACATTGAGCGTTTGAAACCAGCATTTATTCTACAAGAAGATAATGTCAATACAAACCCTGTCCCAATCACGTTCCACCTGCCGAACCGTAATCAGACGATTCCAGTTCCATCAGCCAACGTTCTCGGAATTCCAACATCTTCAACTTCAACAACACCGGTCAATCAAACCATCTTACCCAAGCGCATAAAATTCGTTCCAAACATTTTAAAACGAAACAAGAAACCAAGCACATCAATCAAGCATATCTCTTTCGCAGATGAACAGCATGTATAGCAGAAAAACAAAAAAAATGTCAGCCTTTTTTTTCCTTCCGGGAGGAGCACTGTAGGTGCCCCGTCGACAGATGGTGGCAACATGAAATTGGCTCCCATAGAGAATGGGGACAACTCGGCGTGTTATAAAGGGGCTAGGGTAGTAATGTGGCGGCTCCTGCCAGTTTGCCGCGCTCTGCCTTACCGACAGTGCGGCGCGCATCCTCCTCATTTTCGGGCGTAAAGGGAGTTCTGGGACACCCTGTATATCATTTCAGAGAATATGGAAGAAATCTTCCAGTTACTGGAAATAAACGAACGAAAATGCAAACCGGCCACGGCCACGGCGGCCAAAGCGTCGACGACGCCCGCACCGTCCGCGGCGGCCGGAACGTTGACAGCGCCCGGACCGTCCGCGGCGGCCGGGCCGACCAGGTTAGATTTGCAACGCGAAATGAAATACATAAAAGAGTTACGTATTTATTATTTTATAACAAATATTTTAATTATTTTATCATTTTTTATTATTATTTGTTTATTTTATATTACAGATTTCAGAATTGAAGAAAAAATTGAGAAAAAAAATATATGGGAACAAAA